CTGCCCCCCCCCCCCCCCCCCCCCGCCCCCGGCGGCATGGCCACTTCCCAGATAAATTCTTTCTTAAAGCATTGTCTTGAATTGATTGTTTAAGGTTGTCCTCTCACCTGGGTCAAAAGGGATAGGAGAGGTATGTGAGTCTTCTCCTCTTCTACTGCCTTTTCTCAGCATCTCTGTCCTTTAACAGGTGTCCAAAAGCACTGAAACCTCCCAACCCAAACATTCAGCTATTTGTTGCCTGGAATGTTCTCTTTTGCAAAGCAGGGATAAAGTGGTTTTGTGAGGTCAGGTTCTCTTTATTCAAAGCAGCTCTCCTGTTGCCTCACAAAAAAAGCGAAAGAACTATGAGAAAGGAGATCTAAACTGTGATGAAATGCCTGCCTTTCTTGTCACCTACTATGAAATATTCTCCTTCATTGCACCTGAAGGCTACAGCTTAGCATCTCCAACTCCAAATTCTAGCCTGCCTTTAAGTGAAGCAGCTGAATTACTTTGCTATAGGTTTGAAGAAACCTATAAAAACTTAATAAAAATCATCAGTCCTGGAGGGTTGTAACTAGGAGAGGTATCAAATGGTTTCTCCTTTTTCTTTGTATTTTGTCCACATCATTGTAACAAACTAGTATGATATCTGAATGTACATTGTCAGATACATGGGCCTGATTTGCCAGAACCTCATAGAGGCATACTGTGTTGCCTAGACGTACTCAAAGAAGCTCCAAAATTTATCTCTGCAAGGAATTTCCTCAGTGGAGGAACTATAGGACACGTATAGAGCATCCACCATAACCCTGTTTGACAAGAGTCTATGCTGCTGAGTCTGAAATGGGAGTTGTGAGGCAGCAGAGAGAGGCTGGACTTCATCTTGCTTCCCTGCGCTGAGGCAAATGATTTTGCTTGGCATAGTGTTAAGCAACTCACTGAGTTTAACAGCAAACACATACCCCTTGCACATAGATCCTAATTGGGTGTTGCTTACACCTCTGGAGCAGAACGCTTCTCAAAGTCCTGGTCAAAGGAGGAGTTTCCAGCTGCATTGTGTTGAAGTGCTTCTTGTAGAGATGTGCTTTGCTTGCGTGGATGTCCATGGGTCTGGCTGGCTGCAAATGCATTAAATTCTTCTTACTGAGCACATGGGATCACCCCACTCAATGTTTGGTCAAAAAAAACCCAAAAGTATCCACTCTCTGAGCTTTTCTTTCAGGAAATGGAGGGTGTCAGTATTAAAACAATACTTTAAGTTCCAAGAAATAATCAAGCAGTGGCATACGTGTCTGCATTCTTACCTCAGATTTTATTTAATTAAAGGTTTCATTACAGTACAGCAAGTGAGATGAAGCCTCACTGAAGTCTTTGGGCTTGAACAGCCACTTATATTCAGAATAAGTTAAAGCAGCAGATAAGCTCTTTATCAAATTAGGAAGTAAAACTACTAGAGTCTGCCTCAAAACACAAAGTGCAAGAAGAAATCTAACAAAACCAAAACCAGGCATTAAAACACAGCTGGAAACTTTGTAAAAGGAATAAAGGAAGCCTTTCACTTCAAACCTGTATGCTGAGGAATGATTTACAGATTGAGATCACTTCTTTATTGGAGTAGCACCACAAATCTAGAGAAGAGCAAGAACCAGAATATAGGAAAACCCAAGAAATATTTGGCCAGTTTGGAAACTGTCACCAGCAGCGAGGGACAAGTTAAGAAAAGCATCAAAAAACAAGTGAAAACACACATTTGCATTTGTAATCCAGTTCTCCTGGAGAACGGGGCAGGACAAATATTGACAGTGTGTTTAGCTTACTCCCCTAAAGAAAGAAGGGCTCCATGATCACACTGTCCATCCATCAGTCTGTCAGCCTATCTTCGTAATTTGAACCTACTGGCCAACTTCAGGGAGATTTGACAGCAGGGTCAAGTCAAAATATATGTAGCTCTGAGTCAGCCACATGTTGTGCTGCCTCCTGCTTAGCTGACAGATGGGAGAGGTGGACAGAGAAAGGGAAAACAGAGGGTGGGCAGAAGGTGCGTAGGACCTTATACAGGACATAGGGATGAATGCACAAGGTCAAGCTGAAGTTGCGGTGGTAGTGGCCAACACTGTGTGTCAAAGAAAGGCTACAGCTAGCAGTCAAGTGCATTGGAACACTTCCACATAACACCCTCCCTGTCCCCCAAAATCGGATTGTCCTAGCTCAAATGTAACTATTGCCATCTGAGAGGCAAAAAAAGTACATTGTGGAATTTCCTTGGTTCACTTCAGCATTGCTATCAAGAATAATGAGGACTTTTTAAAAAAAAATTGGCAACAGAGCAACTTGCAACTGCGATTTGGACCTCACGTTAAAATCTGTGAAAGGAGGCCAAAGATTTTCTAAGGGTTTGTGGAGTTCACATTATTTCCTTGTAGTTTTATCCAACAGAAGAAGAAGCACCTGGTAATGTGGAAGAGAAAAGCTGATGTCCATAAGCCACATAGTTTTGTGTGCCAAAAACGTGTGTTGAAAAAGGAGACTTGCATGTGTTCCTGACATTTTTTTGCATCGTTAAAAAAATTTAAGGCTGGTCTTTGGGGAAAAAAAAAAAAAGTCAATAATACAAAAAATAATGGAAGCACATTGTTATTTATTGGGAAAAAAGGCATAAAAGGGGTTTCTGTGACTATAAGGCAGGTCAGGAAGGAACCTCCTGAATACCTGGGGAAGATCCTACTTAGGAAGATTAGGACACAGTGGAGATGGAATAAAGTCTGGGGGTAAAAAGGTTACTTTGCAGATTTTTTTGTTCAGTTCTCGACAGTTCAGTGCTCAAGTTTTTGCTAATGTTTAATATATGATAATTTGGGTGCAACACGGTGGCCACAGGCTAAAGTGTATTCACTACAAACGTGAGCAAGACCAAATTACGTTTGCCTTACATGGTAATGGTGGTAAGAAGTATAAGTAATCTATTACTAGTTATTATTTGCTTTGAAATGTATTTTGGTTAGTGAATGAAATCGGTGTCAGAGGAAGTACTGCAGAAACTTGATTCTTAAAAATTCCCTTCAAAGATGTAGTTTGGCTGAAGCAGGTTATTTCCTGACAGCTGGTTTGCAGAGAATGAATGATACTGTCCACTGTGTCAGGAACCACTGCAAGAGCTACACGCTGTGCTCGCTTTTAGGAAAAGAAAAATGGGGAGGAGCTGAAATCGGTTTCACCTAGAAGGCTGAGGAGGATCTTTTATATAAAATATATGTTATCACTTCTCACATTGGAGCTTGAGCAAGAGATCAGGGAAACCTCTTCAGTGACTTCTGCAAAAAGAACAACTGTGTCTTTATTTTATAAACATGTTACAGTTTCAGCTTGAAAGAGCTGACCTTTGCAAATGAAAATTTGAGAGGTCAGCTAAGATAAACGTTCTCTGCAATGTAAGTCAGTCCATAAAGGCATCTGGTCTTGTTTCACAGTCCTACAAGTAAGAGGAGCAGGGGCTGTAAGAGTGAAGGCACTTTAGAAACCGTAGACAACGTCAGCTGGGATACATGAAGTGGCATGCACGTACACAGCTGGTTCCCAAAACTGACAGTAATGATCATCTGAGAAGGTATGAAGGAAATGGGATTTAGATGTAGCTGCCCTCGTTCCTGGCAAAGTAGCTTTAGCAAGTGACACCAGCACAGTTGACATCAAGTCCCCTTTGGAACAAAATGGGCAGAAATTAATAGGAACTTAATACTCCTCTAACAGTACACAAAACTCAAATGCCCCTTGAAGGGAGGAGTTGCAAAACACCCAACTGGTGTGAGATTTCCTGACAGAACTGCTGTGAAAAACACTTATTTGTGATCAGTGAAGTTTGTTTTGCTCAGTGCAGCCATCTTAAGTCCTGCATCTGCCGGGAGCAAGGTAACAAACCCGATACAAATCCGTAAGGCAAAACGCATCACACGCTGGTATGTTTTTTTCATTAGGTTTTGCTCAGTCAAACAGTCTTTGCGAGGAAGCTACCGACGGCGAGGGAAAACAAAGCGGCCCCAAGCCCCAGCAGCCCGACAGAGGGCCGGGAAGCGGGCTGGGAGTGGCGAAGCTCAGCTGCTCCACAGGCAGGTGCGTGTACGCCGCGCCCGCCTCCTCCCCTCACTCCCAGAGCCCCGGGCCCGGCTCCCCGTCGCCCGAGCAGCGCCTTCACCGGCCCCTTCTCCTCGGGGAGGCTGCGGCC